CTCACTCTTGAGCTGTCAAGGGATAATAGTCAAATGCGACAAAAATTAATGTCCTGTAGTTCTGAACAACTTTCTCATAAGCAGCCCTTGGGGATTTTAGATAAATCAAAAGGAATGAATCCTGTAAAAATCACTGAAATCAAGGAAGTGTCACAACCTAACTTCGCTAGGGGTGGTCATGGAATTTTCGGAAGTCCATTAACAGAAGCACAGAAATGCAGTCTTCAGCAGTACAAAGAAGAATTGGCGCAACAAATTGAGGAAAAGCGCTGTATGATGGAAGCCGAAAAACAAAGAGAGATCGAACTGGAAAGACGTGATATGGAAAGAATCCGAATAGAACAGATGAAGATGCAAAGAGAATTTGAGATGGAACAAGCACGAAAGCTGAGTAGGGCTGAGAAGCCTACCCAACAGCTGACTGCCAGACATTGTGAATGCAACGACAAGATTCGTGAAGATAAGATCCCAGAAATGAAAAGGACTCATACACAAACCAAAACCACAAAAGGCAGTCGACCGACGAGAGATTCAGGATTACGAAGATATAGTCCGACTGGCAGTCCAAAGATACTGATTGGTCCAGAAGCCAGCAAACTGAACAAAATGAAGCAGATAGATAACGAAGCAACTATGCAACACAAGAATGACAGAACACAGTCCGTACTGAAGCAACTAAACACTCTTAGGGCACAACTTGATGTTGAGAAGTCTAAAATCGAGTCGACTTATTACCATCAGAAGCGGGCGTATGGTGATGATAAGGAGCCTATCGAAATTGGTACCTGCAGACGAGCTAAACCTAGAGTAAACAGAAAAGCTGTGGAGCTGTTTCAGGATGTTCCAAGTAGTAATAAAGGTAGCATATATAGGTCTGTGTATGAAGATGAATTGTTGGAAATGCCTTTCAAGGAAGATCTGTCAACAGTCGACCAAAAGCAACTGGCGCTTTTGAAGAAGCAAGACGACTATCTCCAGAAGCTGAGGAGAGAACTAGAAGAAAAAGCCGAACAAAAAAGCAGGACTAGCTTAATAGAAAATCAAAATCCCACAACTGAAGATCAGACAAAGTTAAGTGTTCCGACATGGAATACAAATGATAAGCTTACTGAACAAAAATCTGAATTAAATGTGACATTAAGTCCACATTATTCTTCTAATGGATCTATTGATTTAAAGGAACTGGCTGAAAAAAATAAACAACGTCTAATCAGGTTAGATGCAATTCAACTACTGGATAAAGTGAGTAATGACCCTGAATCAGTTTTACAGCGTTTTGTTAATGAACATGATGGAATGTTTTTAAATGAATCTAAGCACAATATTTTTTAATAACTCACAAATCTTGTTCGCGTTTCTTTTAACTAAACAAGTTTGGTTCATAGAAGAACGCACAGCAAGAATTCTGTAAGATAAGTATATGACCAAAAATAAATTAAAGCACGTCTTTACTGTAAATTATAGGCTTTAGTGGCTCTATAAATTTCGCAAAGTAGGCCATAATGAAATCGGTCGGTCACTTGTTCCTAATGTTTGGTTAACACCAGTTATAAACACCGTCTTCCCACTGTCCCATTGACGCAGAAAGAGAATTCGAATCTCGTTGAAGTTTTAGTATCTGTAGGGAAAAGTACAGAAAATCGCCTCGAGTTCCTCTACGAAAAAATAGTATTGGAAGAAGGGTATTTTGAAAATATTGTTAATTTAAGGTACTTTAACAGTCTTGGTTAGCTGTAAAGTTGTTACGAGGTTTGGATGCCTAAAGTTTGTTTCTTTGCCTAAGTCTCACAAATCAGTATCGGTCACGTATTACTTCGCAAGATGCATTATTATTGCTACTGTATTGTAGCGTTGAGCTGTTCCATTTCTCAATAAAAACCCGAAGGATCCTGTCACGAAATTATCAGGTTGTTTTGAGACAACAAGAATTATCTTAGAAAGCTAAACTATCTGAACTGTAATAGCCCAAATTAAATTATAAGCAACGTGTCGGTATCTGGTTAGATATGCTGCCTTCGAGATATGTGAGTACACCAAGGGAATACTGATAATAACCCTGCCAAAGTTATACACAGTGTTCTGGGCGCTCAACTTTCTACCACTTGGTTACGTGTTCGAACCGAGCTCCACCTTTCGTAGTTAATAAATTTCCTTTTAGGCATCAGTTTACGCTTCCAAACAGGAAGGTGACGTCACTATTGTTGTGTTGATTAATCTCCACCGACAGCTATCTGTGAAAATATGCATACATATGAAGCAGAAAAACATATTTAAACTAATGCATTTATCCTCTCAAAGGAAAGTCAAGTTGAAATACAATATATTAGTGCAAAAGCAACTTCTGTTTACGCGTCCATTCATAAGTGATCACAATTTGCCAGTGATCTGAGTCTAGACCAATATAGTATTTAAAAGCGCCAAAACACAGTATAACTAACTGCATCTATATTTATGCAATGGATTTCTCACAGTCTTAATAATATCATTATCACTTTTGGAATCGTTGAGACTACCTTTTCCTGAGAGAACTCTTAGAATGAGGATAAAATTCAAGTAATTAATGTAGAGACAAAGTGGTAAGAGTCTAATAATAATGGTAAGAATGTATTTGGCACTAGTGAAAATCACTTACACGGATAGCACATCATTTTTACAGAGACAGGTAGATCTGATATAAGAAATTTTGCGTTAAGATAACGAGTTTTTCGGGATGGAATTAACTTGTAGTGGAAAGGGGATATGTCAATAATAGTTAAGAGTACTTCCATATAAATACTTTCCGCATTTATACTATGAGCTCAGGCGCAGTACAATAACCCAATTTCGATATTCGTGATGAAGCACTTTTGGCCTGTAGGTGTAAGTAATTTGGAGTGTCTAAATTGTCACAGCCACGCCTCGCAAAGGCAGTTGACTAACACAATATTCCTTAATTTACTGCTTGAGTACTGATCATGGAATTAGCACACAACCCAGGACTAATGATGCACCACTGAACGGCGAAAAGTATGCTCGAGATTCTGATACTGGGAGGTTTCTGCAAGGTTCTAGTTGATTTGGAGTAGATAACTATGCTACCTTGGAAGCAGAAAGCAAAGTAGACAGAACGAAGACGATGAAATGAACACTTATCGTTCTGTTCACGGATTAGACATAATTGTTAGTCTCAGGGGCTTGGAATTGAATCAAGTCTTTTGTTGATTTATCACTTCATAATTCATGGAATGCCTCCAGGGACCTACACGATACGGCACAGAAACTTTAGTAGCGTCGTTTCCATAAGTGACCCTGACATAATAGGCTCAAGCTTTCCATTTCTTTTGGATCCGGGAATGACTAGGTATTATTGGCTCCTGTAGGAGAATCTTTCTCGTCCGCTAGTCTTTTGATGAGCTTCGGACATATACTCTTTCTTCTTTGTCAGGGTGTCTTTACCCTCATGAATAAGGCTTGCCTGACAGAGGCTATTATCGCCGGGCCGTATGACAGTATGGAGTTTGTCCACCCCTGATATTATTAGTCCATTTATAGAAGGAATTAGAAGAGGAATCCGTTTGTTTGAATGGAGGCAGGCAATTTTAGTGATGCTGTTAGATATCTGTAAGGCTCAGGAGAAAATGTGATCCACAACTGTTCCGATTTGGGGTCAACTTTTAGCAGCTCTGTAAAGAGTTCACCGAAGTAGTCCTACTAAGAAGAAACCCTTACCGATTATGCAGTGTTTTGAACACTATAATACATTGCAATCATAAACTTCTTGTCTATCACACATTTCCACTCGGTGTCACATTCACAGCTAGCTTTCTTCCGTATTCCAACACATTAGTGTAGAACTCTTCAGAAAGAACAACATACAATCACATTTCATTGGACACTTTTCCTACGGTATCTTAGTTTCCAGCGACAATTTTCAAATCTGAGGGTGACTATTTGTTTCTGAATGCCAGTAGTGGAACATAAAATAATCTAAGTCAAATATTGAGATGCTAGTATATTTAACGCATCTGACCAATATTTTAACACCAAAGTCATGCGTTGAAGGCGGTTTCTTAGCCACAAAGTCTAAGTCAACCTTCGACAGCTTTTGACATAACGCGATACCTTTTTTTCTAACTGTTTAATAACATAGTTTTTAAAGTCGTTATCTTATGTTTTCACTCGACACGGACTTGCTTAGATTACTGAATGACCTTACGCTGCCTACCATAATGCTTGTGCCTATGTTACTATACTAGTCAGAGTTGATTGTTGATTCAGGCATAAGGAGTAAATTGGCCGAATAGGTTGTTTGATTTTGTTGTTAAAGAAGCTGCATCAGTAATTTTGGACTGGTCGCCGACTAGGTTCTAACAGAGGTATCTAGCTATCCACTATAAGAGTGGGTTTACTGTATAACAGTTTGCTGTGTAAGATGCTATTAACGAAAGCGAAAATATAAAATATCAGGATTATTTGATCAAAGTTGTCTTCATTCTATTGAATCTGAGATTTAACATAAAATAGCACATAACGAGAATTTATGAGGTAATAAATTTTCACCGATTAATGTATCTGCGAATACCAATGCACTGAATGTTTTGATTGTCCATCTTAATTAAGGTAGCATGAGGTTATGAAAACTTTAAACACGATATGACCAAAGCGCGACACGAACGGTTAAGGTTTGTGATTGTTGATCTGAGTCATGTTGTAATGTGGTTTTTCTACGGGAATCTTCAGGATGTTATTAACTGTAGGTCAATCTAAAAATTCCATATGACCATCTACGGCGGATTAATTGTGATCACTTCATATCATCTTAGAAATAAGTATCACTTTTACTAATCTCCTTTTGAATATACGTCTGTTTACACTGAGATTTACTCATTAGACTATTGTTCTGTTTTCTTTGTGAGATACTTTGGTGTAACAAATTGATTTGACGAAATTCTGTACGAGGTTCTACGCCAAAATGTTTTGTCTGCTAAACACGACTTATTCGCAACAGAAATGCAAAGTATGTAATATATTTGGACAGCAACAATACTATATCCACTATTATTAGAAAAAAAATCACCTCCCAATAATTTATTATTCACCAGTCGCCATGCAAATGGAAAGAAAATACGCTCCATCTTAATTAGGCTGAGTAGGTTTATGAAAAGATCAAAGTATCACATTACGACACCCCAACCAGATCCAAAAGAAATCACAAACCCATTGTAATTCCTATTTAGATCAAGTAATACAAAACAATATTATTGAAAATTAAAAACCTTTCTTTGAACGTAAAGGCAAACTGAATTCACGCATAGAAGCAAGTAAAGAATAAAGGCTTTTTCTTTTACGCTTTAAATATGCAGAAACAACATCGTGCTCCTGTTGACCATGTAAAAGAAAGTCAGTCTCATAAGATGATCGTAAATCAACTGTTTGTGGTAAGACAAAATCATTAGCTGATAAAGAGATAAGAAAGAGAAAGGGAACAGCCCATAGGAAAAATGTGAAGTATGCTATAAGATAGGAAAATGGAATTTGATTACCCAAAAATACATGAAATGCAACAAAATGGTGAATAATCAACATACATGTACTACCCAAAAAGCTAAAGGACTGATAATGAAAGGCAGGAAATGTTTTTAACATAGAAATGTAAAAACAGTGACATGTCAGTCCAGTTAATGTTAGTAATACAGAAACATCATCTGTGAAAAACAGAATAAAATGAAGTATGAACTCTGCATATATTGTATAACGTATTATCTTCCCCGTAGTGACAATATATTCTTCAACTAACTCAGTAACATAAAACAATCCAACGGCAATGCAAAATAGGACAACAAATAAATAAAATAATAACGCGGCATAGGAAAAAAGCCACAGAACAGAAACCTAGAAGTGAAAAAAATTATTTCATTTAAAGTAACCTACCATAGGCATACAATTAGTGAGCTTAGTGGACAGCGTCAATACTTTTCACTGTACAACATGCAGGTTTATTTGAGTGTCTTTAAGAAAGTAACTTATCTTCTCGTCAACCTGAAAGGAGAATGAAAGTTGGTTACACAACAGAAATTATCACTACTTGAAAAATCTCACTGAAATGGGGGATAAGGTTCCGAATATATCTTAGGACTTTTAGTCACATGACACTGCTCTTCAAAGATACTAATCAGTTGACATGCTTACTCCAGTTGTACATCAAACTACTAATAACCAACAAGCAAGACGTTCGGTGTTATTACACCTACTAATACAGATATCGGGGTGAGAATCATAGCCTCAGCCACTCACAGGATACGACATTTCTTAATGCAGTTAAAGCTGAGGACGTCGTCATTCTGATGTGGAAACGTCCACAGTTAGAAATCAGAACTTAGAAAGTCAAACATTTTACCTACGATAGAAATCTTCGTTGCATATCTACATAACATACTGCACTGCACTAGCTAGTCGTTTTCACATATCTTTCTTTAGCTGTACAAATGTGAGAATTCTGAATGCATTGGTTTTAATGAATCAACTTTCCATTATCGTTTAGGCAGAAAAGTTTAAATAGGTTAGCTGAAACCATTCCTTGTGTTTTTTCCACATCACTGACTGAAGAGGTTAGGGTATTCGTTGTGCATGACAAGCCACCAAATTTCGCATCGGACATTTTCAGTTATGTTAATATCAGACTTGAAGAGATTTCGGTGACGGTTATACAAAAGCAAGACACCAATCCATGAGGTCATTGACTGCTAGTATGACTCATATAGAGGGATGTATAATGACTGACTAGGGTCCTCGAGTTATCAAGAATCAGTGGTTGGAGACATTTTATGGAGTGGATTGAAACCGCTGACTACGGCAATGTGTTCACTTCTTGTCATCTTTTAGACATTAAAAATGTTCACTAGGCCATTTCTTTTCCTTCACGTTCCCCAGTGGAAAATAGGGCTTCAAGCTTGTGGCTTGAAGTTTCTGTAGCAGTGTTTATTTTACAGGATGGGGTTGCTAGCCTCATGCCCAACCTTTCCTCTTCACCAGAATTATTTCTGGCTTGGCGAGGTAAAGGAGTGCGTCGGCCGGGGATCAAACTTCGGATCATGTGCATGGTCGGCAAGCGTCCTAACCGCTATACCACTAGGCCATAGTGATATAATTTCAGTCATACAAACCACTTCCCACTTTCATTACTTTTATGTATCTCAGAAGTGAGTTAAAATAAGTTGATGTATTATCTTGAAAACTCCGACATTTTCAACAATGACACCACCTCTTGTTTCCTTAGCCCACTAATCCTTGCAGTCATTGTAAAAACTTTGAAGAATTACCAGTAAGCAAACGAATAGCCAACTATGAAATAAGATGCACACGAAGTCACTCTTCAAGCACCAGTAGAGGTTATGGAGCTAAAAAAAGTTACCATTACCAAATGGGATTTAAAAACCTGACTAACAAATGCGACTGACAGTTGCGTTCCTGTTAACATATTAATACCGTTATTAAAGTACTAGAGTTACCATTCAGCATGTTGAAGGAAGCAAACATTTTGAGAAACAGCAGGGTTTTGGAGGTTGTTCTCGATTGGCAGAAATCTTACTTGACGCATGAAAGTCGGCTGGTGCTGCTGATGTTTATGTTCTGATTTAGGTGAGACTATTAGTAGGGATACTCATGAGACTCTTTTTGGTAATGTAGTTTTGAAATTAATAAAATGGTATTAAGTGGCACAGTGGTTAGGACTCTCGCCGACCATGCACATGGTCCGTGGTTCGATCCCCTGCCGGCGCACATCCGATATCTATGGTCGGCCTGTAAATTTGGGCTACCGATATCCATGCTGAAAATTCCATACTTGTACTGAAAATACGGTGTGGAATCAAGCTGTAATCAAAATAAATAAATAAGTAGGATTCATGGTGCTAGAAGATAGACTGAAGGTTAATCGGATCGCGTCCTAGTTGCATCCGATGAAGCGTTGCACACCCCTATGTAAAATCAAGGAACTTCGTCTCTTACTGCCAAGTGTAAACAATGTACCATTGACAAATGAGTCTTCCTGTCTAATTTTCGCTAATCATATTACGCTCTGAAGAGTTTGGTTAAATGAAGACATATAGGCGAGCAATATTATTTTCAACTAGACTTTCAGGCTTTACTCTAATGTACACAGCTTAATATATAAAAAATTTAACTAATGAAGGTGAGTTTATGGATAAAAAATAATTTATTATAAATGACTGTATACATAATGTTCGACTTCCTAAAATTTACTGAAAGTGTTTTTATTGTAATAAAGTCTATCGAAAATTCCAAACACTGGAACGATATGCGTTTAACCAGTTGAACTCTTTAAAAATTCGTATGTAGGATGTAGAAGGAAATTTGTCAGAAAGGAAATTCACGGTTGATGAACTTTCACAGGATATATTACCAGAATTCTGTGATCATGTCAACCGAGTTAGCCAAAATAGAGGGGAAAGAGGAATGAAACTAATCAAATCTTTAGAAAGCCAAAAACCATAATTCTTCCAATGTTACACTGGATAAATTTAAATCAGAGGTATTATTATTGCGTCTTAAAATGGCGACCAAAGGTATAACATCAATCACCTCCATATAAAAGAGTTGGTCCCATCGTCATGTGATGAACTTGCTAGGTTCAAAACTAAACCAGTCGACAGTATAAGAACAGTATTTATTCTAGCACCAATGTGATTAAATAACATCGAGAAAATCTGAGAAAGTTAAGAAATGATGAAAACATAATTAGTAGGCCGGGTAAAGGGGCCAACATAGTAATGATGAATACACGTGAACATGTCGAAAAAATGAATTAGCTTCTAAGCGATGAGACAAAATTCTAGAAGCTTAAAAACACAGCAGATTTAGACGGGAAGCAGCTGATGGACACGCTTTAGGAATTGAGGAAAAATAGAATACACTCTGACGCAACCTACTGGAAGTTATACATCAAGATTGTATGTCACACCTAAATTTTAACAATGGTTATACACTTACTTAGCTAGAACATCTAGATTTATTGACTGAGTGGTGTAAGGAAATAGGTTGTACAAAATGATATAACTGCAAGTGCATTTATGTAAATCACTGGTAACAATTTCTGCAACTAGCTGTTAGAGGGTTTCACTACGCCCGACAAAAAAGCGATTTTACACCATGGCCTAAATTTCCGCATATTATAACTAACCTACACAATACTTCGCAAAAGATACTGGAAACTTCAAAAAATGGGAAATAATATTTATACTGAATTGGTGACTTCACAAATAGAGATGTTGAGACGATTATCTTCATTAGCAGTCATCTGAATTTTTGTTTCTTGTATTTGGTTGTGAACCCATGAAAATATCTGGTGCAAATTGTCAATTTAGCACGTTCTGTAGATTCATTCGAAGCAAGGTTAGACCAATACTGTATAGGAAGCTAAATCATAAAAATATCGACGCAAGGCCAATTATAGTTGGAAATCTGCCTAGTCACTAGCTCATAGTAACATACACATGAGTTTGATATGGGTTACTTAGATAACTAGCTATCTAATTGGCATCCGAGAGTGAAGGCTACAATTAGTAGGTACCATACAAGATTAAACGAAATGACATCAAACAACTAGTGGCCTCGTCGACCACCCGAAAACGAAGTCAAATTAAGAACCATATGAGGCAGCGTGTGGAAACTGGTGGGATATGCAATTAACGACACCTATGAGACTGGTACATATTTGGGCGAAGTTAAACTAGAGCAGCTACCACGGTACATGACGTCTGACGAAAAACTAGTTACTTTAAACTGAAGTGTGAGACAGAGCTTAAGTCTAGGATCAGAGTGGGGATCGATGGTTAGGGCTAATCCTAATAGTCCTACTGAGTAGTCTCAACACTAAAGGATGAAGTTTGTCAGCAAACTCAGGGTTCCCTAATATATGTCTGAGATTATTTGGTGGCTGCCATAGTCTGTGTTGGTCAAGTTAAACTTTGAGCACCAATAAGTACCAGTGGAGTGCGACTACACCAGTGACCCTGAAACGCTTAGTGAGAAAGTTAGCGAAACTTGACAAATAATATTGCATTCATGAATAAGTTACGCTCAATAAAGTGTTATGTTATCTAATGGGATATTTGGCAAGTCTCAGCTTATGTTTGGAAAATGTTGAGTTAACGTTTAGGCTGACAGATTAGGTTAACCTAATAATGGCAACACAAAGGTTAGTTTAGGGGTATTCCCACATTAAGGTTAGGTTAAGTAAAGATTAGGGTTAGAAAACCTAGATAAATAATTAAACATGTCATGATGAGTGAAATGAAATAGTCAGACTTTATCATCATCGAACTCCCCAGTGGATAAATAAAGATTATATTATATTTGGACTGTTATGAGCTTCACTCTCATGGAGTTCAGTTGTATGTATATTTGCGCTACAAAAACGTTATCCCCACACTACCCATGTCTCCTGGAAAGATCTGCCCACTTTTCCCAAATTAAAACGGAAAGCTGCCCACGTTTTCCCTCACATATCCCAGGTCCAAAAATTAACCGAAATGCATAGAATGTGGTTGTTACTCGAGTTTGAAAAAGAATGGTTTTTACCACATGTCATAGAAAGGTATCTTGTGTGAAGTTTCATGCCTTTTAATTCACGCTTTTATAAAAGCGATTTCCGCTTATAAAATACACTTATTCATGAAAGTAGCCAGCCAGCAACGATTTCGGGCGCATTGCAGACTTTTCAGATTTATTGGTTGAGGATAGAAGGCTTGGAGCCTATGTTAATCCTTTTCTAGTAAATTTCTGTGGTTTTCCAAACCCTTCTTGGACGAATCAGCTGAGGTTGCAGACACCACTTCTTCTGGCAGTCGGTTCAAAGAGTTTATGACTCGGTGTGAGAACCAGTACTCAACAGCAATATGATTTCTTCTTGGCTTTTGAACTCTCCTGCTGTGTCCTCTTCGGGCGCATTGCAGATTTTTTGGGGCAGACTTCGGGCCAATGTCCCAAGTTCTGCAATGCGGCCAAAGATTTTGCCCCAGAAAATCTGCAGTGCGCCCGAAAATAATGCTAGCTGGGTAAATGAGGTTGGTGAATTCAAGGATATTTTTCTGTCGGTACTAACTGGTGCTTATAGTTTAGCTTTGTCTTTTTGTTCACTTTAATTGCTGTAGTTGCACTAAAAGTCTATTCATGAGTTCACTTACACCAGAATAAAGACAGCAAAGGAAGCAAGGTACGTCCAGTAAACAAAAGGAGCGCTTTTATCTCAAGGTTACATCTGCAATATTGTTTTCCTTAGCTGCAGGAAACCAAATTGATTCTATCGCCCTGGCTGCTTGTTTGCAAGATCAAGGTTAATAATATTCACTAAAACCGTACGTGGTTTATCCTGTCACTGCCTTAGGTTTGATTGAGTCCGATGGAAGTGATAGGTTAGATGTGGTTTGTAGTAGGACATTTGTTAAGACCGTGCTGCTGCTGTGGATGTTCGTCATCTAATGTGGTCAGAAGAAGAGATGGTAACAAAATGATTGGTGAAGCTTATGAAAACTTTGGAAAAGGGCAGTCTGCCTTGATACAGTTTTCTAGTATCGACCCCACCAGAGAGACTGAAATTATCCCGCATGCTCAAGGTCATTGATGGAGTGCGACGCTCAAAGGTCATTTTCGTCCATGTTAGTCGGTTATGTTGGATTGCAGTTCCATAGCCGTTCGTTTACACATTGGTTTTATGTTCTGTTGGCATTTATAGGTGATTCCCATATACTGATAGCATTCTTTTGTAAAATAGTACTGTTCTTCACACGAAAATAGCCACATTTTGACGTAGTCTTCATTGAATGACACTATTTCGAAAGCTGCAGCTTCTACAAGAAATAAACTATTTGTGTAGATGAAATTACCCACCAACTACCCATCTTCTTCATTGTAGAGATGTTTTGACGCATTCAGCATGAAACACTAATCATTACAACCAATATGCTAAGCGTGCCGCAGTCAGATTAAACGACGCAGACACCAACATAACTAGCCAGGAAATGAGAATTCCTATCAATCCAGAAAACATACAACAAAATTTTATTAAAAATTATTGACAAAAAAAATTTGCCGAGCGAAATTTCAACCAACATGCCGGATAAGTCCAGCCCACCAGAGACGTATATAAGGAGGTGAACATATCTCTGGTGATTCTAGTAAGAGCTCTACGAATCGCCTGTAAGGATCTGAAACTACGTGCATCCACCGCGCGACAGTGTGATGTAGTTTCTAAATCGTGACTAACTATGACACATGTTTCCAAATGAGTCTTAACTGATGGGAGTTCTATTCCGTCTAGTTCGTAGGGACTGATGCTTGCGTGTCCGATGCGCATGGTTGTACATTTTGCTACACTGATCTGGAGCATCCATACTCTGTACCACTTTGAAAATTTGTTGAGGTCTTCTTGCAACGTGAGCGTATCACTGCCACCCTTCAGTTCTCTCCAGATGTTTTAGTCATCTGCGTATACGACCATAGACGGATTGGCGGGCGGAGATAACTCACTGATATACAACATACAATGAAGAGTTCCTAGTGCCATGCCTTGTGGCACTCCGCAACACACTGCTGTCCAGGAAGTCAGTTCTGAGTTGATCCTAACCCGCTGCTTCCTATCTATGAGGAATTCCCTAAGCCAGCTTATTAACCTGCCTTTGATACCAAGACTTTCCAACTTCATGAATAGTCTCTTATGAGGAACTTTATCGAAGACTTTGCTGAAGTCTATGAAGATGACGTCATCGGGTCTCCTGTTGTCCCTTGATTTGACCCAGCTTTCTCTCGCAGTGAGGAGATTTGACAGGCATGATTGGTTTCCTCGGTAACCATGCTGTGCTCTCGATAACATTTTGTTGTTTTCAAGATATGCCATGATACTTTCCTTGACGATTCTTTGCAGTTTCTTGATTAAGGTGCTGGTGAGACTAATAGACCTGAAATTTGAAGGGCTTTGTCTTGATCCTCCTTTGTGGATGGGGGTTACTGTGGCGTCTTTCCAGCTACGCGTTAACACTTCATTTAGGAGAGATAGCTTGAGGATCGTGGTCAGTGGGCCAGCTATGTGAGCTGATAACTCCTTGAGAAGCCTTGGATGAAGATTATCAGGACCCATTAATTTCCGTGCAGTTAGTTTCATTAGGCAGTTGAGCACGATGTATTGGTCGACGTCGACGAGATCTATCCCGTGTTCCTCTCATGCAGCCAGAGCTTACCCTATGGGTAGTAACGACTCCTGTGTAAAGACTCAGGAGAAGTAGCCTGCCATTTCTTCTGCTTTTTCTTGATGTTCTTCAATTTTGTCATTGTCAATAGTCAGGTATGGAACACCATATGATGTCTTATTCCTGGAGTTCAAATACAAAAAAATTTTCTTAGGTTGTGCCCTTGCATTTTGAGCAAGATGTGCTTCGAACTTCATCCTTGATTGACGAATTTCTACAGTAGCTTTATTCCTAGCAGTGTTATATGGTTTTCTGGTCTCGGGAGTCTCAAAAGTGGCAAAAGCAGCACTTGTGTCTTCGTCTGAGCAATTTACGGACCTTTTGGTTTATCTAAGGGGTCAATGTTTCCGACATTTTGAGACAGACCAGGGATGAAAGGTTCAGTTATTCGGGCGTAAAGTTGTTTGAATCGGTTCTATGCGGCCTCTACTTGGGACTCTGTGTTGATGTACCAGTTCACTGAGTTGCTGATACGATCGCATTTTATCAGCTTTCCAAACGTTTGGTCGAGCTGGGGTTTTGGCCTTGCTGCTGTTGCTGTGAACTTGGAAGTGAGCACAGCATGATCACTTCTTCCTAAAGCAGGAAGATGTTGCGTGAAATCAACATCCTCACCATGGGAGAACACTACGTCGTGAGTTGAGGAGGAGTGCTATGAGTCATAGCGCGTGGGCTTAATGACATGTTGGACTAGGGCTAGCGAAATGCTTGATTCCAGCAGTTTATGAACAAAGGAGTTGTCTGAAGATGGCATTGTAAGGCTTGTCCAGTCAACTGTTGGGGCGTTGAAGTCGCCGACTACTAGACTTCGGCATTTCGATGTCCAGAAGCCTAGCTTCTCTCCTAAGAAGTCATCTGCACTGCAATCAGGGCGGCGGTATGTGGCAATAAGGACAATATCTTGACCTATGCATTTAAGTCTGCAGAGTAGAAGTTCTCACAATTCACTTTCGTGAGCGAGTGCTTCGACGCTACACACAGTTAAGCATTTCTTGAGGTAGATGACTACACCACCTCCTTTGCCATTTAGTCGGTCCACCCTATGCACTTCGAAGTTTAGCAGGTTAACTTCGTCGTCAATAACATCGGGTGTGAGCCATGTCTCTGTGATGAGGCTGGTGATTCTTCCACTTTGTGGAGAATGAGCGACTTGTCAGAGATCAGGTGTGTTTGCAGTGGCTTTCTGTAGCGCAAATGTCTTTCCGTCCTTCGTGGACATTGTGGTCAATATGTTTTTCTTATCTCGCTTTTTGCGAGAAACTACATTGCGCCATTCTTTGGCGTCCTCCTCACTAATCTTAGTCGGTTTCATCTGGCTGCTATCCACCGGTGTGGACGAGGCTTGATCTAAGAGTCCCTGTGTGAACTGAGTCGCGAGTTTTCGACTTCTCGTACGCCTCTTCTTTGTGCCAGCCTTTCCATTAGTGTCACTGGAGGACCTGTCCGGTATCATGGGGGCAGCATTGCTGTCTGGAATATGGTGGGTGCTCTTTTGTGCTGAAGGGCACTCACTCCCTGACAGAGACGCACCAGGAACTTGTACTATTTTTTCGATGACTCTGGTCACGTCGTGGGTGTCCTTGCAGTCCAGGATCTTAAGAGCCTCACTGAGACTGACAATGGCTTCCGTTGTACGAAACTTAGTCGCACTACAGCATTCACCGCACAGCCAGTTCGCCAGAGCTTAAATGCTGCAGAAGTTAGGTTTGTTACAGACTATGAAACCATCTCTTGCAGTTATCACACTGTGTTCCCTCTTCAACTAGAAATTAGCACATAACTCTTCCACAGCGGTTCCTTTTGATAGGCATGCTTTTCAGAGCGAATTGGGGTGAAATGATTCAAATGTGACTCCATATATAGCCTTTATAAACTAAATGCACAAAAATGGATATATATAACCATTAAGTTATAAGAACACAACTTCCTATAATTAAATAGATTCGAGTCTGAAACGATCAGAATGAACAAATTTAAAGTTAATGCATAAACTTTTGAAGCGCATAACACAACAAAAGCCAAAATTAAACAAGCGGCGTGTAAAATTCACTCCCTTTTCAAAGTTCGTGCGGTAGCAGTCTGAATAGTTAGAGGAGGTGAAATGAGTGGTGGTGATTGAAGATTTTGAATGATATCTATTAACGAAGTTCAGTAAGTTTATGTCAACTGGATAGTTCGTCTGACACAGTCCTCATGTTGCTGCATCATTATCCAACTTCCCCATACAGCTATTCACTGAAGGTACAGTAGCTGATAACGAATTTCAGGAAAGGCAAACTAGGAGCAGGAAGTAATGGGAGGGCTCTTGGGTTTCTCATCCCTGGTTCGCTATACTTCAAGGGTTATGAAGAAGTCCTCGTTGAAATATTGCCAAAATACTACTGTATATTCTGATCACTTTTAGTCTTGTGAGGATTAATTAAGTTACTTCTAATTCAACTTTACACATGTGTAAAATACATAATTCCTCTAACCTTTATCGGCTGGTCTATTCAGGAAACTACCTTTGTCATTTGTCTTTCTGAAAGACTGGCACCTATTATAAACAACGGGGGAGCAATCATACTTCAAATTGTGGCTGTACATATATTTTATACATTCTTCGTTAAAACTCAGGAGTTACTGTATCTAATTGCTTATGAGTGAGGTGCACAACCACACACGTCATTACCACATAATCCGGGTAACTCACACTAGTAACACATTTTCCACTAGGAAGGGAACCCAAGTCGTGTTCCTACGTTACACAGCACAAATTGTCACCTTATAGGGAGTGACTCACTATCTGAGCCGTTTGAGTACATAGTGGCTCGACTTTTCATACTTTACGGTCGGAGGACACGCAAATGAGCTGTACACAGTCTTCCAGAGTTTCAGGTCCGTCTGAAACCCATATGAAACTTGCAAACATTGTTCTATGAATCTAAACAGTGGAAGGATGTCGGTTGGGTTTTGGGAGTTTCTGATTTTTCTTAGGTTCAGTCTACATGGTTAAGCACCCATGCCATTTGGCACGCGGTCATGTTACGTTCAGTTATCCATGCCCATGTCTAACAGATATCACCTCTAATCATTTCTGATCCTACAATATATTTTCCCGCCTCCAACGATCAAACTACTGTTTTGATTTGAATTATGAATAGTTGTCTGGTTTTAGGAACTCAAGCACATGAAGAGTTGGAGCGTAATGAAGGCATCAAATATGTCTTACAGTAACAACCTTAATTAAAGGATTAGTAGACACATTGTAGGCATCCTAAGATGGTCACTCAGCTCTAAGAAAAGTCAGTATTTAAGCCGCGTTTGTCCCTCTGCGAATATGATATCTATAAATTGTAAATTGATTCATGAGTCGTTACAAAGAGTACTCAGTGTTACCCGTGACCAGAAAAAAAAGACAGAAAGTGAAGTTGTTTTCTTAGTTACCACCTATCTTTTCAACCAATCAAGTGATTTCCGAATTCAACAAAACTACGTAGTTTCATGCTCATGACTACAAACTTGAACAATATTCTGTAGAGCTACAACCAACCAGTTTCACCTGATATTAGAAGAGATTGACATTTTCAACATAGAAGTTGGCAACAACTGGTATTAAATAACGTTTTCATGCATAGCACAACACAGAGAAATGTGAAAAAAACGAGCATACAGGTGGATTGCTATCACGTATTGGTTCAGCTATGCTTAATTCTCTTTCAACGTGATTGATATTCGGCTAACATATATTGTTAACGCAAACAGTTTTGAGAGCAGGAAAGTTTCATCAACAATCTAACGCGATTTAAACTTGAAAAAGGAAATAAATAAGTAAGAATTATCTATTGTAATACCTATACAAAGTGTAAGCAAAAGTATGAAAGAATTGGGATTGACCGAACCGTGTATAGCTAAGGGTTATCTTCAAAACAAATAAGGGAGTCCAGTGGATCTTTCATTCCTTTCAGAAGTGACTATTCATACATCTAGTGCAGTCAGCCATCCGCACAAATTTGAAAACAAATACTACAAAGACACAAACTATATGTCTAAAAAGATATGTGTAAATACAAGAGTTTAGTTCATGTATGGGAAAGTTTGAGCGTCTTTTTTCTTCACATATATTCATTCTCTGAGTAATTCCTTTCTTCTACAGAAAATTAGCAGGTACTTTAAATTCATATTTCAAGTAATTCATGAAAATTGAATAGGTGGTGTCGGAGGATCTGGAAATTCTCCAACAGCATCCCAGTAAAAGACTTGCCGACGATTGAGAAACAAAATATGAGTAATACGATCTTCTAATTTTGTTAATTTCACATTCAAGTCATCCAGTGTTGGGCATCCGGATAAAATATCTGTGACACATTCGCGTTCCAAACCTTCAAAAGTAAGACGTGGATAAAAGCGAGCATGTCTTTCGTGAAGAAAAGTACGCCACCTAAATAAAGATTAGACAAAAAAATACAATTCTTTTAGAAATGTAACAATAACCGTTGAAATCAAGATTATGGAAAGAATATTATAGAAACTTGCACAAGATCTGACAAATGATTATGTGAAGTAACTTTTTTTATTCCTTTACATTTCCAGTGGTACGAACATAGGGCTTCAAGTTTAAGCTTTGAAGTTTCCGTAGCAGAGGTGTTTATTTTTACGGGATGGGGTTTCTAACCTTATGCCAAACCTTCCCTCTTTACCAGTTTTATTACTGGCCTAGCGAGGTTTGGGAGTGCGTCGACAGGGGATCGAACCTCGAAACACCTGCGTGGTTCACGAGCATTTTACTTACCACTGTGTCACCAACGCACTACATGAAGTAACTATCGTATATTTTTAACTCAAACAACTATTAACAACTTGCAAGAATGTAGAAATATAAACAAATCTGAAGGAAACAGTAATAGAATAGCAATGTACACAAAAGCATTTGGAAGTTCTAAAAGCCAGTGAATACCTACAGCATTATTCAAGTGTTGGTTTGTAGGGATTTGATTGACTGGTTACAGGATTTCATCATAAGCTTACATTGGTTAGAGAACCATTGGGAAACCTGGGAGTACTGAACAACTGTTTCGTCCTAGTTTGGGACTCTTCATCAGTACTTACCCATCGGGGTTCGAACTCAGGACCTTCTGGGCGCGTACTGATGAAGAGTCTAAAACCAGGACGAAACAGCTGTCCAGTACTTAGACGTTTCTCAATAGTTCTCTAACCGATGTCAACTCAAGATGAAATCCTGTAACCTACAGCATTAATTTTCTCTCAGTAATTTTATGTATTTACTACCATAAAATCAAAGGATAAGAAAATAATGAAGTTCAATAAACAAAATCTGAAGGTTATGTGAGTGCCTTGATATTGATTATGAGCAATAAATGGTGCTCGAAAAATCATCAGTAAATAAAACTGTATTACTATGACTTTTTTGAGTAAATAAAATTAATCTATGACGGAACTACACTCTACCCCAGTGTTTGAATTCGATTCTTATATAAATCATTATAGTATATATAGAATTTTTCAAAGGGTTTATACACATTATATGCATTTAAACAAAAATTATCGCCGTTGCTACAAGATATGGTTTTGAGGCGAAGTTAAAGTATCATAGCCAAAGCCGAGGTTTTTCAGAAGTTGACCTTCAAGAACTAGTCAGATACATCTGAATTCTCATTGGTTGTTCAAGGTCACTTTGGTTTTGGCTATGATAGCTTAACTTTGCCGATTTTGAAATGAATCATGGTTGTTTAATTTCTCTTCATACCTACATGAAAACAATAAAATCAATTCATTCGTTAACTTCTGAGGATACGAGGTATGCATTCGGAATGAGTTTCTGTTGGATTGCTTTTTGTATCTTTAAGTTTAATAAAGTAAACCAAAAGTGTATGGAAAATTGAATGAATGAACTCTATGTGAAAATATTTCATATTCCTTTTCATTTCATCGTTTTAATACATATCCATTTGTTGGCTAATTCAGGACTCTTATTTCATATCAATTGATTCAAAACAACTTCTAACGATACACTAAATTTGTATACAGAATGAATGAAATTAAAACTGACACAGTAAATTATTTTGACACTGAAAAATTTGGAATTCTTGATAACTTTATAATGTTATGTTGGAGAGACAGAGATACGCAGATTATTGGGTTAACCCTTAAGTTGTCGAAAATTCTTCTTTTATTTTAAAATGCTTTTGTGAAGTGTAGCATAATCTGAGGTAATGTACTTCTATGTACTGAATAAGAATATATGAACATGCAGTACAGAGTATTTTACAGAAATGTTTAACTTGTGTTTGCAGTTTTCGTATGGAAAATGAAACAACTGATCAAACAATCAACTGATATGAAATATAATATACAAAACCTGACTGGTGATAGAATTCAGCCTGCACCAAACAAAGGACTACACATATCACAATAGTTACTATTATCCAATGAAAGTATCCAATACAGTCTTACAGGAGGTCAATCGCGAGCCTACATAGCTCAGAGGTAACGTGTTTGACTGCAGCACTCACTGGGTGATGTAGGTTCGAATTTCAGAAGGGGGCGTGAGTTCCTTCACGGTTGCTGATTGGTGAGTGCTAGCTAACACGAAATCTAAGTGCAAGGCTTCCTGTGGCCGATTGCCTCCAACCACCTAACATACAGATTTATCCAACAAGATGGCAAAGTAAAATAATGATAATATACGAATTAAATAAGTGGAGGCAAGTTACACAGACACAGCAAGAAGAAAAAGAAAACATGTTACATACGACAGAACAGAATATTTCTTCTACTCAGACATCAAATAAACGAAATCTAGGCTAATGCAATCGATCAATCACTCAGAAGCTACATAATTTTAATTTTACATCCGCAGTGCTTAAACACTTCTGAAAAGCAACATTACGTAGGAAATATGAATTTTAAAATATTTAACTCTATGGCTGCATTATATGTAAAAATACTGTTAGAATAATCCTTCCTATGAAAAAAAGCATTTCATGTTTTTTTCTCTGTCAAACAAATAACAGAATTGCCTTACATCATACAATGTCTTTTATCAATTTTTCAGGAATGTATTCCTACATGAAGGTTTAGATGTCAGAGTGTGGAGTTGGAGGCCACTGAAAATTGCCTTCCCTGTACCATCTGTTGGATGGGTTTCAATTACACTTGAAGATTTTTATGAAAGAATTCTCAAATTAAACCTTTGACACTACAGTAAACTAAAACGAAAGATAGGACTGTTTAGAGTGCCAGTTACTGCATGGCATAATGCATTCGGATAATTATTATAAACTTGTGCATTCTAACTGAAATCAATATCCACCTTTGAATTCCTGCACTACAATCAAACATTTTTGGATTGAAAATTACCGAAGAAGAGCATAAACTGTTATCAAAGTTCAAGAAACAAGCATTTCAGCTTTACTTTCATCAGCTGATATTCCTTGGTATATTAAATAAACATAAAATCTAATTTCTGATTTCAAGTGTTTGTTCAAGAATTTACTATGATATCCGTTTCTACTTAGTAGACCACGAACATTACCAAGTTCTTCGTTCAGTGTCTCATTTGAACAGATAATTTAGACCCACCCAGTGAACCAAACATCTTTTATTTTTATTTATTTGATTATAGCTTGATTCCAAACCGTAGTTTTCGCAAAAGCATGGAATTTTCAGCATGTGATATCGGTAGCCCAATTTTGCAGGCCGACCATCAATATCAAGTGTGCGTTGGCAGGGGATCAAATCCTAGAGTATGTGCATGGTCGGCGAGAGTCCTAACCGCTGTGCTATCGACGCACAGATCACGTTCGTATCTGTGAAATTAGAAAGTAAAACGTCGAAGATACCCACTGTTCCCAGAAAAAATCAGTCTTCCTGATATTATAATACACGGTTGATGTCAATAGTGAGATCTTATCACAACGTCTGAGAAGGGCCTTCAAAAAAAAACTTTCAATGCAGTTAAGCTATGCTGTATATTCACTAGCTGACCAATACTCAGTTCAAGAAATAAAATTTAATTATTGCAGTCCACATACGTTACCACAACAAAGTGAAATAAATCAACGCAGAACTTAGTATAAAAATGCAACAGTTTAAAATGCCGCATTTCATGAAACCACAAATAAATGTAAACAAAAGAGATGCTGGAAAACTAAAATAAAATAAACAAGGATTTTCACAATCTGGAAGACCACAGGAAGTCCAATTAAAGAGTATACTCCTTCTTAATTCGCTCAAGCTAATAATCAAAAACATCTCTCTCCCTCTCTCCATATATATATATATATATATGCCTAGTCGAAACAGTATTTGATACAAAACGTAGTGCGACTGCACTCTAATACATGACGTTTTAACATCAGTTCACTGCTGACATCCACTTAGACTTACAAACTTCGATAACGTCTCTTCGTAATTTAGTTAAATTTACTGCTTTATAGTTCTAAAAGCAAACAAATTTTCCTTATCCCTGTAACGTTTGCGGAAGGTTATACTTACCGCTTATACAGACATTTAATTCAATAAACGAATATCTTTTAAGTATTTCGTTTTTGTAATTATACTAAATATCCCAATAATTACTTTCTCCTAATGATAATTTACTCCTCAAAGATGAAATGTTGGTTTTTTGAATTCTAATTACACAAATAGTGTGTACATTATGATTAAAATAACGACTACGATTATTATTTAAAATTATTATAGGCACTGAAGACTTACAAAAGATAAGGATTCATATTAGTAATAGTTAACTCCCTGGGTAGATATCGACAAACTAAGTAGATCCACATGACAAGATCATCCATTCTATAACGATGCGGACCAACAGCTTCATAAATCTGTCCAAGAGATTCTGGATTATTTAAGCAGTTGATAATTCCACGTGCAACATCACCTACATAAACAGGCTGCTTTATTGTCTTTACGCCACGATTCCACAATGGAATAAAATAGCGTCCAGGTATTCTCAAATGACGCCCTATACATAAAAAAGAGAAATGAAAAATCAAGATATTTGTCAAGACATAATTACACTATGTATTCAGGAACAACCGTCAAAAGCATATTTCTGAATAAACTGACATGTAGTAAATTAAAGTATTTTATCAAGAGTGAACAGAGTATCGATGTGTGTTTTAAAGATAATGTCAGATGAAATACACACTACTCTTAATAACTAACTGACAGAGTCTTAACAAAAAACTTCGTACAGGAGTGAAGCAGTACAAGTTGCCACGTTCCATGTAGCACAAGAGGTAGACAAAAGAGAGAAGAAAGAGATACACAGGAACTAGAGGAAGAAGAAATGTGTGAGAGGAAGAAAAGCGTGACGGTTTAGTGCAAACAGACGACAAAGACTGAATGCATCTGTGTACCACTGAGAACGACTTTGATCTATATCATCAACATACTCCAGTCACTGATTCTTAGCATTCAGGCACTTAACACACGACACAGATGAAGTAATTCAGATAAAGCCGAAGAGAAAATTTAATTTCCATACACCTAAAAAGTGGAAACTAACCAAAGGATTGAGTATGTGATAGGAATCTTAACAGTAAAGAGAAGAAATCATAACAGAAATTTGGTGAAAGTATAACGAAATGACCCATTGAATCTGCAGATGCACGTAAATTACCAGTAAATTTCATCATGCATAAAAGAACGGTTCCTTAGCAGAAATTGAAAAAGATCTGAGGGCACATGAAAACCACTTTGCAACGTCTAACAAGCAGTTTTATTACTTAAATAAGCAGCATCAATATCACGTATAGAGCTGAACAAAAAACGAGGACATATTTTGTACCAATGTCCATCTCAACATAATGTGCTATAGTGAGTAAGACCAGATTACTAAAACCTAGAAAAAGGAATGGAACTATGAAAATATACAACAAACGATGTGACCAATGTTATGCAATTGATGCCCTCTGGATATGGAACACAACAACCAAGTTAACTGATGGAAAACTGTGACATGCTTTAGAATCTGTTGCAGTATCATAGACGAACCCAGTCCTTTCTTTATAAATTTAGCGACTGAATAACACCATCTGTGTATTATGTATTAACCTGTTACCTAAACCTCTGTATATTTCGTTGGAGCTGGGCACACACTAACTGAAAGTTCAGTGAGTGAATAATTACAGCACAGTGCTACAGGAAGTTGTTTAATCTATCATTTTCTATAATGTTTATTACCCAATCACAAAAATTTGATACGCTATCCTTTAATTAATGCACTAAACATAATTTTGGGGAAGTTTCAATCTCCGAATCTTCACATTTATACATAGAAAGGATTCTGAATACCTTATGCTAAAACATAACAAGTGAATAGGAAATTTGAAAATGTAACTAATCCTAGCAACTGAACTTACATTTTCCACCAAAGTGGCATAAAAATCGATCATTCGGTCCCCATAAATCAGCTGGTCTGAAGATTGTAGCATCAGGACGTTCACGAAGAACCTCTTGTTCACCGATAGCCTTGGATGACATAAATCGAGAAGGCCTCCAAACGTATTTCGGTGGGTTTCGATTCTGACACAATGCAGATACGTGAACAAGTTGGTTGACTCCCATTTCTTTAGATATTCTTGCAATGCGTGCAGCTGCATCAATGTGCACGTCTTCAATCGTGAAATGTCTGGTATCAAATTCTGTGCCTATCAAGTTGATAACCACATTACTATACTTCATAGCTTTTCTTAAACATTCGTCGTCGTTCAAATTAAATGGCTATAAGTTTGAAATAAAAAAGCACCTCATTATATATATGGAACCTATCAGATATGAATGACATTTATCAAATACAACATATCTTAAGGTAAAGAAAGAAGTTTGACAGTTGATGACGCCATTGGTACCTCAAGATGGGGTTGGAACAAATAAGTGACAAGTCAATAGTAAGAGTTACAATCCAATGGTGAGAAAATGTAACCGCGGTTTACACGATGTCGAGAATTATACAGTTTCGATCATTACGGAAACCAATAAGTAAAAGCGAAAACAAACAAGCAGAAAACAGCAGTGAAAAACAATTTAAGAGTAGGAGACGCTTTTAGCTTATGATGAGGGTGATAGCTGTTGAGTCAGCTTTAATATTTTATCGTTACCTTAAGCAGGCCGTAGGGAGCTAATATTCATAACCCACTGGTTGGTAAGTAAGAAGTCGAACCGATAAGCCATATAGGCATCACTAATAAATGAACACCGTACAACGTGACACATTAACAGACTGATTCATTATTACACATCTGTAATCAGTTAACCAATAAATAAAAATTATTCAAAGTAATGAAAAGCCAGGTTTAATGCAGGCGGGAATCTGCCAATGGCACCCCACCACAACCACCATCGATAAACTGATACAAAATAGTCTGTCTATTGTCACCTTGATGTCAGTGGTCAAGTGACAGTGTGTCTCCTCACATTTAAAATTAGGGCTAACCGGATACAGATGATTAGACTGTCAGGATGGAGTTGCATAAATATCTACCACATGTCCTACCATCTGATCTAACATCGATTTCAGTATTGAAGTCACGCCTAAAATAAGTATATCTGCGCCAACTGAACCGATTCTGCTACAGTTCATCGTTTACTTCATCTACATTAGAGCCAGTGGGTATGTAATCAGACATTACAAAAATAAATTGATGATCACAATTTCCCCTTAAAACTAGAGCGACGTACATTGGAGAAATATATACGCCAAATTAAATCAGGCTGACAAGTGCTGATTCAAAGGTTGACATCATATATGCGTAGGCTAACGCTGAAAAGCTTGATAAAATACACTTTGTAATATATATTGTTTATTAAAGACTTCAGATAAATGCATCATAATTTCGGACCTGGCTTTACGTAACAAACTTCGAGGAGAAAACCAAAGAACAAACCAACAATCATGTGTAGCTTTGCGCATTAGGCCATGAATCGAACCAATCATTTGTGGGCTTATGATTGCCCGAACTTCAGAAAGTGAAATATGGTTTGAGTCTGTGTGCAACACAGTCTCTTATTGCAGACCTCTAGATCAGTGAAGTACAACATCACAGCACTAAGATTAACGATCGCAATAAATTGAAATCTTCTGCTACTTTGGGAAATCAGAAAGCTGCAAGACCTGTGTCGAAAACAAGACATACATTTAATCTTCAGTGTTTTTGAAAATTACAATCTACTTTATGGTCAGACTGATTAATTATAAAAGAGGATAAAAAAGATTGGCACGGATGAAGGAACTTTCTTTTTCGACCGGACAACCTACTTGGTTGTAGCACTGTGAACATATATTAGGAGTAGGATATTTCCAAAGAAATTTCGATCAGCACTCAAACTAATAATGAATAACGAAAGTAAGTTGTGTAATACGAATAAGCAAACAGAATAGAGAAATGAACATATAAGTAACAGCTCAGTAAAGGGTCCATTTAAAACAATCGGTTCTTCATGATGATTATATTACTGACAAAAGTTTAAGATACACCATTGGAAACAACTCTACCTTGAACTTCCGGATTGCTAGTCCTTTCGCTATCCCTAAGTGCTTTCACCTCATTCTCTTAGAGTGGCTTCATCGAACTTTCTAAATTCAGTCGCTACAATTGAGTAACTTAAGCTCCTGAGATGTTCTGTTGTTCGGTGGAAGATGAATTTTCGTTTCTCTTTCCCTTAGTAGAAGTGACTGTGGAATCTTGTATTTGATAGTGATATTGCTGCAGAAATTCTCTGAACACATTTATGAATTGTGGGTAAAATTTATTTTGATAAAGTCTCACAGCGTTAAACAGTAATATTTACTGATAACGTTTCGAGAATAATTTATTGCTCATAATTATATCAAGGTACTCACATGAGTAGTTAGATTATTATGAAAATGCAACACAATTAACATACCAAAAATAAAATTTGTCCCAAATCCCCCACGACCTTCATATCTTTAATGGCGTAAGGATCGCATCTGTAAGGCAATATAATTTGAGTCCCATTCTTCGCAAGATGAGTCAACAAAGTTCTCCCCAAGTATCCGTACCCCCCGAATACAGTTGCAACCATGCCATTAAACGATGCCCTCCCACCTGTACCTCGTTTTAATTTACTTAGAGCCAGCGGCTCATCTGCCAAACATTTTGAAGTTGTTGTCAAGGGACGACTATTCAAACAGCCTGATTGAAGAAAAACATACATATATATTAACTGCATCACATATATGGATGAAGGCAAAGTAGGGTAAAATAAAATAACTTCTTGATATGTAAAGATGATCTACTAGGTGGAGAAAAATAGTACACAAGATAAAAATCAACTGATACTCCAGAATTTGCTTGCCGTTTTAGAGCCAACTAAAGTGCATTTGCTTAAAAACGGGAAGATGTCGATCGCCAATAAAAGTCAGGGGATAGGTAAACTTTTACACTTTCGTCAAGATTAGAAGAAAACGAAACCTCATTTCTCTTGCAACAGTCTACTGCGTTTGCACTAAAACAAGTACTGAGTGAGCAATTGTAATGAATTGTTTAATTAACTAATAATAGACACCTAACATTTTCCGTCGATACACGTATAGTGAAAAATACTTATGCTTCGTGAGACCTGGATGTGCCGATGAAACAACTAATTATAAATCTGAGATTCAAGGGAAACGGGCTTAGTGCAGTAATCAGCAGAGGTAGATCATGGAAAATCGAAGATTATTCTTTGTTGCATTTCCATGCCTCATCTTATTTACGCATGCTCTTGGTTATCAGAACGTCAGATAAAGGAATCCCACCGTTGACAACTTAAATATGCACTTCTACTAACTCACTTCTATGGAGTTGTGCGCATAAACCGTGCAAGCATGACATTGTCTAAATGTGCTCATGAGTACCTACTAGCATGGTCTCGAAAAGAACAATGTAGAAGAGTCACCAGCACAACTGTAGAATACGTTACTACACCTGGTCATGCAGCATGAACAAACACTTCATCTGCAGTCATATATAGAGCAACATCGAAGATCAAAGGGATTTCGCTCACACCTTCTTCATAATGAAAACCAAGAAGTTTGTTTTCAGAAACTTTTCATGTAGCCATTCTCATCATAACGGCCTTAGTGTCAATCTTACTCTCCTAATCTCTTGCAAGATAAATTCCATGTAATTCGCGCGTATGGCTCACTTTAGATTGTTTGTGCTCTTGTCCTTCATCTTCAGATCGCTATCCAACACCTTACTATTACTACTACACTTTCTCAACTACATAAGTTCTTTTATTCTTTTATACAATCCTGATTCACATATAGTGATTTATGTTTGTTTACTAAATGCCAACAACTTCTGACCCTTGTTGGCAATTAACATGGTACGAAAAGTGCCCTCTTTGCTGACTTGTGTTCTTTCAAGCTTTTTTGTCGGTCGATAAATGATACTGTACATCGCTTCTGCATCGGTTTTATAGAAAAAAATTTACCATGTTGACAAAGTAGATTGTGGAAAATCACTTTTTGAAGGAATTCTTCAGTCCGAAAGCAGAGACAACTGTCTGATAGTTAATAAGTGCACACCCTCATCAGGGACGTGAGGCGAAAATTGTATTCAATATCAGTTACTATATATCACATCATAATAATTCAATTTGAGGTTTTAAAAATCAGAAAATTAACATGTATTAGTAGGCTGCAGTCTACTTTTAATAGACGAAATATGTACAAAGACAACAAAGCAACAGTAGACGATGTAAATATATGCGATAAAGAAAACTCACATGAATTACATCTGAGTAATTGTAGACTCAAATGGCTGAGATTGCGCATAGCTGTAGCGCAACTACCATTTAAAAAAACGCACGTCCAATATACAAAATCATTGTGACACTCACTTCTTGTTTTGGAACGGTTCTAGATTCTTGGAGGTTACCAGCGCAATTCCTAGTCTCGACTGACAAAACATTTCTGAATGCAATAAGTGGAGATATATCATTTTTCTTTTATCTTAGGGGGGAGGGGTAAGGGGTGTGAAAGATTAGTACCATGTCAATGGCACAGCTGGGACAACTTGAGACGACGTCTGGAGAGTGAATAGACTATACAAATGCAAAGAAGGGCATGGTGATTGGTGTAAAACGAGTAAGAGAGCCAAAGTGCATGCTCACATAGCAGAAATAAGGGCAAAGAACAACACGACACTAGTAAGGTTTTGATGTAGAAGAAATTGTAGCAAATGTAGAAGTGCCTAGTAATTAGTTAGGACGGGTGAAACAACTGTCGTACTAAACCACTAGAACTATTCAACTTCTCCTATAGTTTTGCATAAACCTGTTTTCTCTTAATGGTCAAGTCTTGAAGTGTTTGACACTTCGGTGGGCAGTGAAGCAAATTGGTGACAGACTCTAAGAGAAAAGTATCCGGCCCTCACATCTGCTGCTGCCGTCTGATGAGTAATTATGGTATGAATGCCCGTCTAATTGGAGATTTTTCCAGATGAATCATTGTTAGCTATTCCAGAATCATGACAGATGACAGCTGTTGACATCACACTGCATCGTGGGTTGCCGAAGTGTACATCTCCCTGTGCTACTCTCGTTTTCAGCTGAACTTAGTTTGCATCACTAAAGGCTTTCAGATGTCGTCCAATCACTCGGAAGTTCACCCTCTCATCTAAAAGCACACGTACTACTTTGGTGTTACTTTCCCCCTATGGCATGTATGGGCAGAATTTCCTGATTAAATTTGCCTGGCCCCTCAAACTTTAGTGATAACCTGATTTCCCAGGGCGATATATGCTGTAAGCTCAAACTCCCCCAATAGCATCTACAGTGCTGCCATACCCTTCATTTTTTTAAGGAGGCTGTCTATGCCTCTTTTTATCCGGTAAGTTTTGTTCCATGGTGTTACCACTAACGTAGGGATGAGATCATCAGTAAACTTATCGATAACCCTCGTAATCCACCTACAGTGTTTGCGCAAAGTTAGCCTCTGGTAGCCTTGTGGCTAAGGCATGGACTTGAGAGACTTTCCCAATCGGACAAATGTGTGGACAAAAAGGGGATATTTTTGGGAAAACGGGGAAGAAAAGGGGCTATATTCTTTCAAAGCGGGAACAAACCGGATTAAATGGGACATTGAGGGGGAAATGTCTGAGAGAGGGGGGGAGAATCCGAATAAAGGGGGCAATGACGGGAAACCACGGAAAATTTTACTGTACACCGGAGTTACTGATGAGTTGTAAGTTGTTCAATTTCTCTGTGGAAATTACGTTACCGTTACTTCAATTGATGTGTTTTTCCTAATGTAATTACATCAACAGTTTACTGTTGAACATTTTCACAATATCTTACAAGCAGAACACAGAAGGAAGTGCTAACACTTAAAAGTAAGATGACAATTTTCATCAGGTCAAAGCTGACTTTAACATGAATGTTAAGTGGGAACATTTTGCATTAAATTCCGACGACAAATAGTACGGCTCAGAGTTGCTGCTGCATAACTATACATTCTCCTCGAGCAGATGGTCGCTTATGAGAAGGCGGTATAGTTGTCCAGCTGCCAGCATTAGCGTTCTTGACAGATCCATACTGTCCAGCTGTCGTGATGCTGTGTACAGTTACAAAGCAACAGGCTGACTCCAACAGTTCAAACAGTGCTGTGTTATTGGCATAGCCTGGTCGAATCTTTCTGCTCACAAGCACTGTAGCCCCACAGCTATTCAAGCCTCCCTGTCTTTTCCTAACATAATCATCCCACGTTTAGTCCCTAGTTTTCAACGTTGCGTAGTAGCCGTATGTGCGTCGGTGGCATAGCGGTTAGGACGCTCGCCGACTATGCACATGGTCCGGGGTTCGATTCCCGGCCGGTGCACTCCTTTACCTCGCTAAGCCAGAAGTAATGCTGGTGAAGAGGAAAGGTTGGGCATAAGGCTAGCAACCCCATCCGGTAAAATAAACACTGCTACAGAAACTTCAAGCCACAAGCTTGAGGCCCTATGTTCCACTGGGGAACGTGAAGGATAAAAAAAGTAGTAGCCATATACCCGTTGGAATGCCCACTGGCAATGAGAGATACCAGCACAGATTCTTGTTAATTACAAAAGGCAAACCTTGTGTTAGTCCACCCATGTGCATTATCTGACCTTGTCTTTCGTGATTATCAAGGGATTATTGGTTATCTTATTATGAACTCCCACCACTGGTGGTTGATCTTGGATAAGTGTTGCATTCTATTTCCTATATGTACGTAAATGTAATTCGCTAACGATTTTGTTCCAGTAATCAATACTGTTCGGTATATCTTTGTCCTTTCTTGAAGGACAGTTACTTTTGTACTGTTATCTCTGCGTAGTTGCACTGTTTAGTATATATTTTAGAAAGAGACAAAATATACGTTAAGTCACCTGTGTTTTAACTATAGTGAGGCCTAGTATCTGTATCGTCAGTAATGATAGTGAGGATAGAATATCTGTCGCCAAAATTAATCCTAGAATTCTGGGCTCAGTCATGTAGATTCCGGGATCTCTGACTTTCCTGCAGAGAAATGCAATGGTTTCACAAACAGCACAGCTACTGTGTTTAGTGGTTGTTGCCGTCAACTTGTCTCGTTTTGGTTAATGTTTTACAGATCGGCCAAAGTCGAAAAAACTAGCCTTTCTCTGCTTTGGGGGAACACTTAGCTATAGTTACAGATAAGTTTCACTCAACTCACAATTACGCTGGGAGAGAAATATGGCGTTGCGTCTCTCTAATGTCACGGTATATTCTTAGCTTTATCCTCATAGCACAATAGCTGCCACTAGTGTTCATTTAAACTGTCTCATTGTAATAGTATTTTGCAATGACCAAATCACAGGAAATCAACCAACAACACAGAGAGAGATGAATTTAGGAATTTGTATTTGGTGGAATTATTTATAATTCATATAATAAATATTAATAAACAACAGTAGGTGTTTAAACAGTGTGGTGATAGAAATTGTCAATCACCACATCCGCCACATGTCGAATGTCTCCTTGCGTATTTATAATGATGTCTTGGTTTGCTTGCAAGTCTCTGCGATCTTCTAACTGATTCTGTGATATTATTTTCATCAGTATCGTACAAAATTTTCTGCGAACCCGTTAGAATGAGGATGACGTTATGCTATGTACAGATGATGACAACCTGTATGTTTATGCCAATCATAGAAGTTCTTCTCAGTGAAACGAGTACCATTATCAGTAACTAAGACATCTGGAACTGTTTCACGACTAAACATCTTCATCAAAGCTCAGTGAGTGAATTTCGCGCTAGGAATATCTGTAATTATGACTTCTGGCCATGTAGAATAAGAACCCACAATAATTAAGGCATAGTATGAATTTAAGAATGGACCACAGTAATCTGCATGAATGCCCTGCAGACCATGGTTTCCACGATGATTTCTCATAGGACATTTTATGCAAACAGCTGCAACAGATCTTTGATCTTTCGCTAATGTCAGCACCAATTTCCGGCCACTATCACGCTAGGTGTGCTAATGATTTCATCTTATCAGCTCCCAGATGAACAGAATGAAGATCATCCAAAATCTCAGATCTTAATGTCGGAGGAATAATAATTCTCTCATTCAGACATAGAAATCCTTCAGGATGGACTGAAATCTCACCTCTTCGCTTATAAAAGTCCGGAAATCTTCGCTTACGCTGAATACTCCAGCTTCTTTTTGTTGCATTTATAATGCATCCATAATATTCCCGAATATCATTTATAAGTCGAACTCGATCCACAGGTAACGGATAAACTAATAAACAATCAGTATCATTAGTAGCATTTTCAAATGATAAATAACGAGATAAGAAGTTTGCATGAGGTATATCCTTAGCCGATCTGTGTTCAGTAGTGTAATCATATGAACTTAGTTCTACACTCCATCTTTGAACCATAGCAGCAGATGATCTATTCAAAGATTTTTTCTGGATTGTAAATGAATTTCAGAGCCTGATGATCAGTAACTATGTGAAACTTAGTACCGAAGAGATACTTGTGCAGGAGTTATATACACCATACAACTGCTAGAGCCTCTTTCTGGGTTTGTGAGTACCCTTGTTCACTCTTAGACGTCTTGAAGTACAAATAACAGGTTGTCCATTTTGCTCAAGTACTGCAGCTATACCCGTAGGAGAAGCATCTGTAGTGAGAACAGACTTATCTTTCGATGAAAAAGGTCTCAAGAAAGCTTGTTTATTGAGAAACTCCAAAGTTTTTGCAAGATATCCTCATGTTGTTGCTCCCACTTAAATTGTTTACTGGAGACAATATCAAAAAGTGGAGATACCAGTTGAGTGAAATCGGGAATGAATCGGGAGTAAAACTGAAGAGCACCGATCCATGGTCTCAGCGATGACATATCATTAGGTGAAGGCGCTTGAATTACAGGTGCCAAACGGTCTAAATGCCTCAAAGTCTACTGTGTATCCTAAGAATGATGCAGACAACAAAGTAAAATGACATTTAGATAAATTAGCAAGAACATTTTCTCACAGAAGCGCCTGAACAGTTTTAAAAGATGTTCACAATGCAACTCGATGTTCGGACCATGAACTATAATGTCGTCTTGGTAAGACTCAAATCCATATAATCAATCTATCATCTGATTTATCAATTCTTGAAATATTGCAGGTGAAACCTTCAGACCGAAAGGTGGGAACTTATACTTATACCTGGTTGTTACTGCACTAGGCGCTTCGTCAAGAGGAATTCTCAAAGAAGCATTATTGAGATATATTCTGGAAAAGTACTTTTATTCACGTAGCTTGTACAGAATGTCTTCAGTGTCTGGCGTTGTGCAAGTTTGGTGTAGTAGACGGCTATTGAGTGTAAGGCGGT